AAAAAAATTTATATATATATATATATATATATATATATATATATATAAAATGCTTTAATTTCTCAGGTTTAATTTCTAATAAAAAATAGATATAACACACACAAATAAAAGCTCTCTGGGTCTACAGTAATTTTTAAGAGTATAAAGGGGTCTGTAACGAAAAAGTTTGATAGCCGCTGTGCTAGAAACCATACTGCTAACAGGAAAATAATCCAATTTTAGATTATCTAATAATCTAATTTTCTGGTTCACTAGAAAATGAAAATAATAGATTTTCTGAAAATTAAAGAAGATCTTGAATAACCAGTGTTTGTTTTCAAGCTACTGTTAGTATGGTGGCAAGGAACCATATTAAATACGTTTTCATCTAAAAAAGCTAATCCAGAACTCACAACATTCACTTAGGACCTTACATGTTTGTTGTACTCTCCAAAACAAAACCTCCTCTGCTCTCCGTACAAATCCATTGTGGCCAGAAATACGATTTTGGCCTCTCTGTCACTTTCATGTATGTTCTAGATGTATGTGTATTTGAGGGGGAGAGGAAGCAACACACCTCTTCTTTTCTGTTAACTACCTGACAGTAAAAGTTCCTTGAATGAAGCTGTCTCTATCAATTCATTGTTGCTAAGGAGTAACTGTCCACTCATGCAAGAAGCCACATCTGTAAACCTCCAAGAGCTGACCACAAATTTAATCCTCCACACCAGGGTGTTTCTGAGAGTGAACAGTAATAATTAAGCTGGGACAAAACGTATAATAGGACTATTCCAAGCAAATCTGGATAACACCCCAAATTAAGGGCATAATACACCATTACTATATTTGTTCCATCATATACAGAACTACAGTCTTAAAAACTTAAGCATTTGAAAGCTAATGTTAACAAATGCAACATTAAAATGTTCAAATTAATTCTCCAAAGATTTTCCTTCATTTTTCCTTTAATTATTTCTCAAGGAAGCAAAAAGAAAACCCAAGGTTTCTCAAAGACAAATGGTACTTTTTAAGGCAGTACTTACAAAAAGACTCCTGAACCACAGCTTTCTTTCATTAGTTGCTTATGCTTCTTAAGGTGATCTAAATTACAGCAAACTATACAGAATATACTGTAATCATGTGACGGTGTGGTAAATGGTAACTGAAAATGTGGCTTTAATCGAGGCCTACATTCATCTGGTATATGTATATATATCTATGCAGCCATACTGTAGTTTAAAGCCCGTGCTTATTCTGATTAATAAGTGCCTGTACCAACTGTCAATCTGATAATCCCTTTGGTGTTATGGATACATAAATATCCTGTTAACTCAATTAGCTAACATATTAAGGGAATGTCAAGTATACACAAGACCTCTGTGATTAGCGCTGCAAGGGAACATAAATGGAAACACACAGCCTATGCTCTCTCCAACAGCTCACAATCTAGTAAAATAAGGAGCAATCCAGATAGTCTCAACTTACAAATATTTGGTTTTAATATGAATTGGTATCTTTCCCTCACTACCACCCCCAGCAAATATACCACAGATAGGTACTGATTAACCAGCATTAGAATTCATCTGAATTTGTATTCCTTCAATGCTGACAGGATGACATGGAAATGGTCTTTAAGGATAAGCATCAAACGAAATCTGGACAGGTGTTTAAAATATGGAAAGCATGTAGCTGAAAATTAATATTAAATAGCTTAAGCAATAATCACTGGTACTCTACAGTATAATGCCATAGATAAGCTAAACATAATTAAAAGATTTGTCATCCTTATAAACAGAGGTTATACGGCAAAGAAATGGAATGATTTTGCCAGTTTGAAAAAGAACGCACATCCAGATAATGCCATTGCCTATCAATATCCTACAGGGCTTCTAAATATTCTTACACCAGGGAAGTATTTATTTTTTTATCATTAGTTCATACCACCTCTCTCTCACTTACTTTAATAAATAGCAAGTGTTGAAATATATGTTAGCCATCTGGGAATATACTAGATTAGCTAGTAAACAAGAAAATTCTTTTAAATCACCTTTAGTAGCTGGTAAAGCTTAAATAAGATTACAAAGCAATGTAGTGTAGACTATTATCATATACATTGATCATCTTTTAGTCTCATTAAATCAAGTACGTTCAAAATTAACTATTTCTACATTTTATCTTTTTCACTGGGCAAAGGACTCATTTATGGATCACTAAGTCCTCATTTCTTTCTCTTTTCATTTAGTTAATTCTCACAACATTAAAGATTCAAGAGTCACAGATCCAGGCACAACTTCTGAATGGGTTCGGATTCAGAACAAGCAATTTATTGCTGGAACAAGAAACTCACTGAACTTTAGAAATAATGTTCTCTGGAGTAACCTCTCCAGTCTTCTCTTTCCTCTATTTTTGAGACAACAGGTTCCCTAAAGCCGTAGTCAGGTTTCATAATTATCCTTTTTGAAAGCAGAAGTAATCTCAGAAGAAAATCAAAGGCATTGTGCTTGTGGGGCTAATGCAGTAGGTGAATTTTCGAGGCCAGGATGAGTATTACAGAAAAGGATTTAGTCACACCCTTTAAGTGCTTCTGTACTCTAATTACAATCACCACCGCTTAAAACAAAGACAACTCTCTTGCAAATTCAAAGTGAGTGGACAAGCCTCTCTAGTATAAACTGATTTTTTTTTTTTTTTTTTTGCGGTACACGGGCCTGTCACTGTTGTGGCCTCTCCCTTTGCGGAGCACAGGTTCTGGACGCACAGGCCCAGTGGCCATGGCTCACAGGCCCAGCCGCTCCACGGCATGTGGAATCTTCCCGGACCGGGGCACAAACCCATGTCCCTTGCATCGGCAGGCGGACTCTCAACCACTGCGCCACCAGGGAAGCCCTAAACTGATTTTATTAATAGAAAGCAAATTTTAACATATGTAGCGCATGTAGTTCTGGTTAGGACCAGGAGCTAATTTTTAACATTTACTACTGGCATTCTCCCTAGGAAGAAAGTAATTATTATCTCAATCAATCCTGTTAGTTTCATTAAAAATTGATTAAGGGATATAAATATTGAAAGCATATCATGAATAAAATAACAAAGGTCTTCAGACAAAAGGATGAAAGTATAAAATTTGGGAATTATTTGTGAATTTTTTTCTACTGTCACTGATCTAGTTTTTAATAAATAACCAAAAGTCACTAAGAATATGATAAAAAATGACATTAATTTTCTCTCTTGTGTAGTAGAGGCACCCAGAAACAGTCTCCTAAAAGGAAACCAGTATACAAAGAAAGATGACCAGACAGACAAGATTTTCATTTCAATCCCTTCACACGATGTAATTTTTTTGACCTACACCATTCTGAAAGTATCTTTAAATTTTTTTTCAAAACAAGTTAATATGATTCAATGTGAATTTATACATACACAACTAGTAACTTTAATTTGGGGATCACTATCATATTTTTGGATCACAATTTTAGTGTCTGTCCACTCTTCCCTATTTTAGTACATTGCTTCTTTGCTTTACTGAAAAAGTAAGACACATATACATCTGTTTCAGTGTGAATCTACTGAAGATTTTACATAATCAATTTCATATTCTATTACTTTTAATGTAGTGCAATCAATGAAGATTAATGTAGTGCAATCCATGAAGATGCTATTTTCAAATACATACTTTAATTGTTAAATTCAAAATTTTAAAAACACTCATAGGTAATTTTTCTTTCAAAATCAAATGTCTTATTTACTATTTACCTGGTGGTGGAATCAGAGGTGGAGCAGTGCTGACAGTGGGAGGAGGTGGAAGAAATGGAGGAGGTGGAAGGTGAGTGGGAGGAGCTCCTGGAGGGAAAAATGGCGGTGGTTTGCTAAAATTGTTGTCTACTTCAGTAGCAGATCTTTCAGAAAGGACCTAAAATTAGAGCGTAGTTAATTAAAAAGATGAATAAATGTTCTTATCTAAGATTAAACTCAGTAAATGAATCTCATTTAATCTAAGAAACAAGTTTTATTCACTTACATATATTCTGGGGAAGCAGGTGTAATTTTTCTATGTGTGTGATATGTGTGTATATTATACAGATGTGAGTATTCACTCTCAAACACACTTTTTAAAATGTTCATATTCAAAGCCTAGACAAAACTGAATCATTACAAATAAAATTCTTAAGGAATAATTGTTTTAAAAATATTCTAAATGAGACAATTAAGTACTTCATAAATAAAATGTAATGAGACTTATCTTTGTTACTCAACCAAAGTTAAAGTATTCAAATTATGGCAATATAATCATTAGTCATAGATACTAGCATTAAGAAATTAACATGGCAATAGAACCAGATATTCACTGTACCAAGGCCTGTCATTATCAGGTTGCAAAGTAAGAGACTATAAGGCATGCATCAATAGGGTGCAACTAACAGGCAGCCAGATACATAAAAAACTTCTTCACGTGAGCCTTGTACCTTTAAGAACAAGGGTTTATACTTAAAAAGTAAAAGTATTTACAAAATACTGATCTATGTGAACAGGTAAGGGACAGAAACCGAACGTACTGGCACCTAGAAATTTGAATTTTTGACAAGCTCCCTAAGGGATTCTGATGTGAAAACATGTTTGAGAAAGCTAGAAAAAACAGGCAACATGACTTTATATATTTAATTTATACTTTTCAAATCCTTGCTGGCTAAAACATATCATTTAAACATATAATCTCCTTTCATTAACTTTTCCTACATTTAAGTACAGTAATTTTTGTAAGGCTTATGCTGATAAGGTAGTTTTTAAAGTAGAAAGCAGTATTATTTTAAGAAAGCATGACATTTTAATGGTGGGGGTAAAAAAGGATTATCTTCCATTTTAGAAATAATTTACCTTAAAAGGTGCTAAAAAGAACACTTACATAATTTATTAAAGGTAATAAAGAATCAAAACACTGGACATCTTTTAAAGTGCTCAGAGAAAGAAAATAAATAATGAAAAAAAGTGTGGTCAAGCTAATAGCTGAAAGTCTCAATTACTCAAAGTTCAAACCTGAATTATACAAGCTACTAATAACTCATCTTCTTTCATTCTTTCACTTGAAAAACAAAGAGATCTACTTCACCCAGAAATGTCACATTAAATAAATTATGGTATAGCCATACAATAAATCTATCACGAGGAGGTGTTAAATATTTTTAAGAATATGGGAAAATGCAAATGATAATTTTATATGGAAAAAAAAAGGATACACAAAAATATAACCATAGTAGTATCTATCCCAATCTTGCTTAGTGACGAGGAAGAGATGTACCAAAACGTTAAGAGTGGTTATCTTTAGATGGCAGAACTATCGACGGTTTTATTTTCTTCTTTAAACTTTTCCCATATTTTCCTTTTTTAGTCCAATGAGCCTATATATCACATTTATAGCAAGGAAAAAAATATCTTACTGAAAAAGATCCAAAGGTTATAAATTTTAAATGGAACAGCTTTTGTAATAACATGGTGATTGATTCCACATTTTAAATCCCCTTTGTAGCACCTAAATCACCTTACATATAGCATAGTGCTATGAATTAATAAATTAAATTAGAACACAGATATAATCCTTCATTTAAAAAGAATAGTAACTTTTAAAATACTAAACCTGTATGTTGCTGTTTTCATTTGCCCGTCGCCTTCCTTCTACTCGGCTGATAGTTATAGTCTGACCAATAACATCAATTGCCCCAGGTAATCTCCTGTAACATAAAAATTGAATCATTTCAGTTTCACCTAATTAGATGTTTGGACAATAACACAAATATTAGGTAAGAAATAAAGGCTAAAACCCTATGCAATGTAATTTAAAATAAAATCAGATCACAACACATACTGAAAAAACTTCACTTTAGATCTCACTACTTTGCATAGTCATAAAAACTAAGTTTTATTAATCAGCTAAGACCAACACACCCAACCATGATCATAATGCTAAATTTTAAGTATTTTTGTAGGTTTTCTTCAAAATTTACTATTTTTTAATAGTCTTCAAGTGAATTTATCTTTGTGGAACTGAATCAGTACCAAATGTTAAACAAATGGAAATATAAATTTTTGGCCACTATAACTGTAACACATATCATAGTTCTATTACAGAAATCTTAAAAATTCCTCAAAAGGGCTTGAAAAGAAATGTTGCTCATTTTGATACATAAAGGTTATTTTCCTTAGTGATTTATTCTGAGAATTAGAAAAAATAAATAGGGAACCACTTTTTCATTCTTGATAACTTGCCTTTAGTTAGAAAAATTCAAATATTTAAATGCCAGCCCCACCTCCAATTGTATTTACAACCATTAAAGTTTGTGAGTAGATGGAAAAACAGTCTATCACAAAATAATGCTGCAAATTTAATAGGAAAATCTAACAATAAAAGAAAATAAAATAATGTTAAAAGCCATTTTTACGTGTAGCTAAGAACTTTATAAAAATATATATGCTTAACAAGATACAGAAGTCACTTGTAGGAACTGGCAATGAAAAGTGGCTGCAAATTAGATGAATTTCTCTTCATCTATATTTCAGTTCTGAACAATTCTGTTTTTAAAATTTTACAGAAGTAAAACAATCAAAGTACCATAGATCCTTCAGGTCACCAGTTAGGTTCCTAAAATGACTAATAACAGCAGCTACCAATTATTGAATGACTACATTCTATACCTAAACCTCAGAATAACTCTTAACTTAAAAAATTAATATATACTTGTTAGAGATGATAAAGCTAGAGCCAGAGTGATGTCACTGACCTCAGTAATAATTACATGGCAAAACTAACTTTCACACCTGAGTCTTCCTGATTCCAAAGCCTCAGACCCCTTCCCTTGAGCCATGCTGCCTTCTAGCAAGATAAGCAGCCTTTGAAAAATTTAAGACTTTTGGAAATCAAGAACTACTGAAAGTATGTTTCAAGTAAACCTTGAAAAGCCCCATAAATAATTTTATGCTCACAAAAACAAGAAGAAAGACCTATAAAAAGTCTATAATGGCATTTGAAATGTCTTCAACTACATAGTTAATTCCTGCTCACTATCCTGCCACTTAAGATTTCTGTTAATACATTTAAAAACTGTTCAAGCCTTTCTGACTTTATACCTAGGTCATTGACCCCCTAGGTTCCCTCATTATCTCAAAGATCAAAAGTGATTTTACTTAACTCGTACCCTTCAGTGCAGCTGGGAAACTATCCTAACAGTCACACATTAGAAAAATAGAAATACTTCTGACAAAACAAATATTGCTCTAATTTTTGCCTAAAACTTAAAATACTTACAAAGCTATGACTACTATAATTTCATATCAAAGCACATGCCATCAGCTCTCCCATGTATAAACACATCTCAGATCCAACAGCCCAAACGACAAAGGTGTATATTCTGAAACCAGGATTTCCCTCACCATTTATTACTACCTAAACTTCATAGTAAAAATCCTTATTTCTACCCTACTAGTTTCTTCTCCATTCTCTTCTATTCTCAATCACTGGATTATCCCCTCTCCATCTTCTTAAATTTATTCCCATTAAGAACAAATTCTCACAAATTTGTTTGGATTTGCAACTTGGATTATAAATTCTCTGAATTGTTAAAAGTAGCAAAAGGGGAAAGATTCTATAATCTTTGACCATAGATTTCTAAGGACTTATGTTTTCAAAAATTCTGGGACACATGGGAGTACTCATTTATTAAAGTTTATCTTCAATATGTTCAGAGATGTCTGATTACCTTTTTCAGCTTTAAATGGATTGCTCTATCACTAAAGAGTCAAAATGGCAAATACTATGTTTCTAAAACATACAGGACTTCCCTGGTGGTGAAGTGGTTAAGAATCTGCCTGCCAATGCAGGGGACACGGGTTCGAGCCCTGGCCCAGGAGGATCCCACATGCCACGGAGCAACTGGGTCCGTGTGCCACAACTGCTGAGCCTGAGGTCTGGAGCCCACAAGCCACAACTGCTGAGCCCACGTGCCACAACTGCTGAGGCCTGCATGTCTGGAGCCCGTGCTTCGCAACGAGAGGCCACGACAATGAGAGGCCCATGCACCGCAGCGAGGAGTGGCCCCCCGCTCACCGCCAACTGGAGAAAGCCTGCACACAGCAATGAAGACCCAACACAGCCATAAATAAATAAATATTTTTTAAAATAAATAAAATAAAATAAAAACATACAAACGAGAAATTAGCCTTAATAAATGTGTATCACTAGGGGGAGTCTACAAAATTGCAATTCCTTACATGTCCATAATAGTAACAGCTCCTTGTCCAAGCATTTTTACCACACAAATTGATTTACCTTAATCAGAAATTTTGTCAGAAATATTTTACAACAGACACATATGTACCAAAGTAACAAAAATCACTTAATATTTAACACAGGTGAATAACTAAACATCAATTCTGATGTCATATTATGGAAAACAATATTGAACCATATTATTATTAAAGTTTCTGATGTACCACTTTCTATTTCAATGAATAAAAAAATTTAGTAGAGCTTCACCATGAGGATCTACTGTAACTTGGATTTCTACATAGCACAGGTTTAACTGGGTTTACAAATTGTTCAATAAGGCAGGCAGCTAATGAGTTATCAAGATTCTCTTCTCTATATTGGACTCAATCATAGAGTAAAAAGCTGAAAGAGAGAGCAACTAACCACAGTGGACAGCTACAGTTTCATTAATCTACAGTTTAATACAGGCAGTGAATATTCACAAGAACCTCGACCTGTCCTCCTAGCACAGATGAATATGAAAACATCTCTGAAATTTTAGTGGAATTAAATTAAAATGACATATTTTGATGATTCTAATGTTCCAGAAAGGGTATGAGAGCTGCTTACATAGATACAATAGAAATCCTAAGAGTAACAAAATCAGAAACAAGGGAAAACGGATAAAAGGTTAGTTATTAATCTTTGGCCACAAATTTATCTCTGAGCTTATTTTTTACCAGCCAAAATAAAGGACAGTCTTCATAACAAAAGTCTTTAATGTGCATTAAGAGAAAAACAAAGCACTAGCTCTGAAGATTACTTTTCTTGGTAATAACAATTGATAGTATTTATTGAACACCTACTATGGTGCTAGGAAAGCACTGTTCTAAGCACTTTATATAGATTTGCTCCTCATAATAATCCTATGAGGTAGCAACTATTATTATTCCCATTTTAAAGATGAAAGTAAAAAGAAAAAAGTTTCTCCTCTGAGTCCATCTTAAGTGAAAGTATGATAGAGTACAGTAGTTTTTAAACTTTTTAAACCACAAAACAGTTATTTAGGAAATACATTTTGCACAGTAATCCAGTATATACATTATATAAAAAAAACAAAAGTTTCATAAAACAGTACTTACTTACACTTACTATAAAGGAAAAAGAATAACATTAATATCAAATATGATTTTAATATTTACAAATAACATTGGAAAAAAAAACAAAATAAAACCAAGAAATATTTGGTGGCTGAGACCAGCAAACTGACTTCACACCCCACCAATGGATTAGGGGTTCTCAACTTTGGCTGCACATCAGAATCATCTAGAGAGCGTTTAAGACCCCCAGTGCCCAGAGTGTACACCAAATAGTTAAATCTGAGTCTCTCAGGCCTAAGCATCAATATTTTTCGTAGCTCGCCATGTAACTCCAATACAGAGCTAAAGTCGAGGACTACAACTAATGGCATGCCCAAAGAAGAGACTTATATTTTGTCCTCTTCTAGAAAGAACTTAAAGTAGTTACTAAAAATTAATGTTTTTATTACTCAATAAATTTAAAGTCATATCTAAAAATGTTTAACAATTATGGTAAGGATTTCATTACATACATATTTTCATATTGATCTTTTGAGTTCTGTGGACTGACAGTACTGCTTCTATACCTACATTCTATTTTTCAAGTGGAGACTTAATAAAAAAGAATTCTGTCTAGAAAAGTGATACACGTCCAAAGAAAAAAAAAAATCACAGAATTTAAAAACTGTCTTCAGGACATGTAATTTCCTATCACACCATATTCAAAGAGACTGGTAAAGCCTATGATGGGAGCAGAGATCCAAAGGGAACTAACACTTTAGTGGGTGCCCTGCAATAGCGTTTCACAGGCTTAAAAATTATTTCATCCGTAAGTACATTGAAAGTAAGGTGTAAGTCCAATCAGTTTCATTTTCACAGATGTGGAAAGAGGCTCTTCTGTGAAGTACCGCGCCAACGTCAATATTCAGGCTTGGGTATGACCAACTCCAAAGCCCCTCCTACCCACAGAATGTTTTCCATGCTAATTTTCTGGGTCCTGAATTTTTAAAATGTCACGTTACTTGTTAATCTATATTAAAAACAAACAAAAAACCTTGAATACTTAAAGGTGAAATATGCTAAAATTTGACTCACTGGAGGACATAAATTGTGTTTATTAGGGCAGCCAAGTTTACTTACTTTTGTGCAGAGCTTGGAATAAAGCTTTACCAGCCATATTTATGCTTAGTTGCATTTTTTAAATGTATCACTGATAGCAAAAGATATGTTTCTACAGGTAATTAAAAAAAAAAAAAGGCCTTCATATGTCCAATCACATAAAATCCTACAAGCTACACAATATAGCAACATTCATTCAGAGTGCTCAAATGCTATAAGGTACAGGTACGTTTTTTCAGTAAACGATTTCATCAAGACATAATAGTAAGCAGCAAGAACAAATGAGGGAGTCAACCTTAGATTTAATGTTCATTTAACATCCACTTTTAAGTTTTGTTTGTCTATTACAAAACATGCGAGCAGGTTTAAATATTTTAGTGATTATACATTGTAAAGCAATTTTTACTATTTGTCCTTCAAAAGTCTGGGTTAGTTTAAAAGTATTCTGATATTGGAAAACAAGCTTAATAAAACAACCTAGAATTTGCAACTAATTATCTAAAAGGAGCATAGTTTAAGATTTTAAAATGGAAACAAAATACAGAAATAAATTGGACACTGGCTTAAGGTTGTAGCAATCATCCACACTGCCTATTCCAATTTTCTGTGTTCATTTTAAATTACTTCATTCTTCTCACTAATTCGCTTTACAGGAGTTACAAATCTGTACAAAACAAACTTGCACCAATAAAATGTTATTGTTATATACTATAGGTAGCTTAAAGATTTAAAAAACACTATAATATATAAATTAAGAGTAGCAGGGTGAGAAAAGTCTGGGTCTCCAAATACAGTAATTTATGAAAAGGATCTCAACCATCATTTAATCGTTCTTTACAAAGAGACTTAAGGAATGCTTTAAAAAAACTCCCCATTTCTCAGTTACATTAATTACAAGAGCTGGAATCTCATTTTTTTATCTTATGCTATAAGAAAGTGTATGTAGCTTTCATCTACAGTTGTTTTTTCTTTTTAATTTTTCTTTTTAATTTTCAAAAGCACAAAATACACACTGAAAATACAGTGTCAAATTTCCTACTACCTATACTCCCTGAGACTAATCACAAAATCAGAATAGGGAGTTTTCTGAGTTACCAAACCATCTTTTGGGGCACAGGGGGGCGGGGGGGGGGCGGGAAGCGAGGGGGA